GCGGTGGGTGGGGGCCCTAAATGAAACACCCCCCCCAATCAAGGTGACTAGGGGTCCCAAGCCCCTAGTCACCAACTCCCCTGCCAAAAAAACCTATCCCCTACCTACCCCCCTCACCCTACAAATAGTGAGGGGGGAATAAAATAACTAACCTGTAAAAAAAAAAAAATTAAACTTACCATTTGGCGTCTTCTTTTTTCTAAAATCTTCTTTCTTCAGCCCCCAAAAAGGCCAAATAAAAATCCATTACACCCGTCGCACTTTAAAAAAAAAAAACGAGCGCAAAAAAAAATTAATCCAAGTTCGCCCTTCGAGGGCACGCCGCATACTGAGCTCCGCAGGGCGGGTCAAGGCTTATAAAGCCTTGCCCCGCCCTGCAATTAGGCTCAGAACACTCTGATTGGTGGGTTTAAGCCAATCAGAGTGCTCTGAGTCATTTTACACAGCGTGGGAAAATTCAAAAGAACTTTCCCACGCTGTGTAAAATGACACAGAGCACTCTGATTGGGTGGCTTGAAAGCCACCCAATCAGAGTGTTATGAGTCATTTTACACAGGTGGGAAAATTCAAAAGAACTTTCCCACGCTGTGTAAAATGACACAGAGCACTCTGATTGGGTGGCTTGAAAGCCACCCAATCAGAGTGTTATGAGTCATTTTACACAGCGTGGGAAAATTCAAAAGAACTTTCCCACCAGGGCTCGAGTCCTGCAGGAACGCATGGGAACGGCGTTCCTGCACTTTTTCCAAAGCAGGAACGCCGTTCCCGTTACCTGTCCTGCAGGACCGGCCCTGGTCCCTGCACTGAGGGGCCATCACATGCTGTGTTCCCTCTCCAGCTATAACTCTCGCGAGACCCGCGGCTGTTACCATGGCAACGCTCCGCACAGGCGAGTCTCGCGAGAGTTAGAACTGGAGAGGGAACACAGCGTGTGATGGCCCCTCTGTGCAGCTGCTGGTTCCCTCCACCGGACCACCAGGCGATCTCCCCCCTCCCTGACAAGGTAAGAAGCAGGGAGGGGGGAATAAAATAAAAAAAATATACATAAAGTAAGAAAAAAATGCTTCCCCCCCCCCTCCACACATCATCCAGCACTCACACACACATCATCCAGCACTCACACACCTATCATCCAGCACTCACACACACATCCATCATCCAGCACTCACACACCCATCATCCAGCACTCACACCCATCATCCAGCACTCACACACACATCCATCATCCAGCACTCACACACCCATCATCCAGCACTCCACACCCATGTCAGCACTCACACACACACCCATCATCCAGCACTCACACACCCATCATCCAGCACTCACACACCCATCATCCGGCACTCACACACACATCATCCAGCACTCACACACATCATCCAGCACTCACACACATCATCCAGCACTCACACAAACACCCATCATCCAGCACTCACACACACATCATCCAGCACACACCCATCATCTAGCACTCACACAAACACCCATCATCCAGCACTCACACACACATCATCCAGCACGCACATCATCCAGCACGCACATCATCCAGCACGCACA